CATCCGTTGAAAATATTTTTAATTCATTAATATTAAATTCCACTAAACATACCCATAATAATGTCAATTTTCTTTTAAATAAATACACGACAAAACTAACAAATAAAAATAAATAAAGCTCGATCATTTATTTCTATTTCATTTTCTAATTTATACTAATTAAACGAGAATGTCATAACTTTAAAGTTAGGTAAATGTAGACATAAAATAATGAAATTTTTTTAATTAGGTATATGTTCGTATCTTAACGTGAAACACATAAATTTTGGTTTTAATTCACGAAATAAGTAATCTAGTACAAATTATAAAACAAATGTATGATAGATTTTTTTAAAATTATATATATATAATTAAGACTTGACAAGTGGCCATCAAATCAAGCAATTAACTTCATGACAGCTAATTTATGTAAAATAACATCAAATCCGAAACACACATCGATAAAGACATGCTTGTTTATCGCTAAAGAATGCATGAAGAGCCTCAAGAGCCTCATACATTATATTTGATATTTCTTTATCTCATGGAGACTTGTGATATTGATATTTGATATAATCACCTATCTAATTAAACAACTCATATTATTTACAAAATTTGATGCAGGTGCATTTATTAAATATTTAGAGTTTGGCCCTCCGATATAAATTAGATGGGGCCGTCTTTGATAACATCTAATTCTTAGAAAACATGGTTAATATAGTTTATAGTAAGATTAAGATACTACAATAATTGTGTAACGAATTAATGAAAACCTAAGTTGGTGTAATATTTATTGGCATATAATATATAGATCTAAGTTGTTTTAATGAATTGTGGAGTGGAGTAAGGTGGTGAAGAATAGGAAAAGAAAAGAAAAGAAGAAGACATGATGTGCATAGCGCCTTGAAAGGGGGTGTTCTAAAGCTACTTTATAGACAACTATAAATATAAATTAATGATAATAATTAATATGTAACCGTAAAGTTGGGTTTTTTAAATTATCCAAGTAGTTAGGGGGTGGATGAAAAATGGTAATATATGAAATGAGGAAGGCCAGCTTGCAAGTAGGTAGGCATATGAAAGGAAAACGAAAATGACTTTATGGGGCCAAATTGCATTAAGTACACTCAACCGGTGAATAATTCATATTATTTTGTTCACTCATATTAACATTCCGGTAGCTTTACAAAGATGAGGGGGAGAGGTGTGAGATCTTATATTGGTTGGAGAGGGAAACCTAGAAAGGAAAGCGACAATATCTACTAGTGGAAAGATTAAACGTTGTTTATGAGTGTGGAAACCTTGTTCTATCGGATGCATAGGGTTTGATCGTTTGGGATGGACATTATGAGAATTGAGAGAGCAAAATTTGATGTAGTCCCACGCATTCATAGCCATCTGTGTCCAGCTCTTACTACTGCACAGTTGGTGCCCCACAATTTGGGTCTGTATACGCAACCCCCTTCCCATTCCTTGTATAAATAACTCCCCCGCTCTCCCCAGACTCCAACACACACTAATAATTACATTCCCCACGTTCACCATTTCACTTGCAAGTACCACAAACAAGCCCACCTCATGGCTGCTGCTGCCTTCTCATCTCTGCTACTCTTTCTGTCCCTCCTCTTTGTTTCCTCTGTTTTAGGTGCCAACTTTTACCAAGATTTTGAGATCACTTGGGGCGGTGGTCGAGGTAAGATTCTTAATAACGGCGACCTTCTTACTCTTACTTTGGACCGAGGCTCTGGCTCTGGCTTTCAGTCCAAGAATGTTTACCTTTATGGTAAAATTGATATGCAGCTCAAACTTGTGCCTGGCAACTCCGCTGGCACTGTCACCACTTACTATGTATGCCTCTTTACACACATTACGTATTATTTACATGTATTTGAAGTTAGTAGCTGATTTTCTCTGTTGGGTTCTTTCTTTTTTTAGCTCAAATCCCAAGGCTCGACGTGGGATGAGATTGACTTTGAATTCTTGGGGAATCTCACCGGTGACCCTTATACTCTTCATACCAATGTTTATACCCAAGGCAAGGGCGATAGGGAGCAACAATTTCACCTCTGGTTTGATCCCACTGCCAATTTCCACACCTATTCAATCCTCTGGAATCCACAGGGGATCATGTAAGAATCATACCAACAAAAAAAAACATTGACCCATTAACCCATTAACCCAATAACCCAATCTAGTTTTGAACTGAAATTTTTTTGTTTTTGTTGTTGTTGATTTCAGCTTCTCAGTGGACGGCACGCCCATCAGAGAGTTCAAGAACCACGAATCATCAGGCGTCCTGTTCCCAAAAAACCAGCCGATGAGACTATACTCGAGCCTATGGAACGCTGACGACTGGGCCACAAGAGGAGGGCTAGTGAAGACAGATTGGTCCCGAGCTCCCTTCACTGCCTCCTACAGAAACTTCAACGCCGACGTGTGCGTTTGGTCGGCCGGCAAGTCATCATGTTCCTCTGGAGCCCGTGTTGGCGGCAGAGGATGGCTGTCTGAAAATCTGGACATCACCCGACAACAGAGAATGAAGTGGGTTCAGAGGAATTACATGATTTACAATTACTGCACTGATGCCAAGAGATTCCCTCAAGGCTACCCTCCTGAGTGTGCCCTCAACACCGCCGCCTAAATTCAGCCCTCCCCCACGATGCATATTTGGTTTGCCTGCCGTACAAATTTTAGTTTATCATCTTATTATACTCGATTACGTATAAACAATATGGTGTTACAAGATACATATCTGGTTTTGCATGGCTATGCCTATTTGCTCTGTTTTCTTCGAAAATTCAATAATAATTGTGAGTCCTTTTTAATATTAACTCCTTAAAAGAGCTATCAAATTAAGTAAATCTTAATTTTTTTTTTAAATGAATTTCTTCGGACATCCGGGGAATGTGTCAGAGACAATAAGATACGTGTTGGGACTTTTAGTCGCTAAATCCACCGTGTCAATCCAATCCTCTTTTGTTACCAAGCCGTCACAAATTATTAGCCAACTTTTTTGTATTAAATTTTGTTAAAATGAAATATTAAATTTATAACCAAAGTTTTGAATTAAAAGTGGGGGATATGACAAGAAACTAAATTAAAAAAAGTTTAAAAAATTATTCGAAGTAGCATAAAGTGGGCGACTATATTTTGATATGATATCAAAATTATAAGGTCTACGTTGGACCATTAATTTTGTCATAAAGTCACGTGGTGAATTGGTGGTTTTAAAATGTTTTTTTTTTCTTTTCTTAAAATTAAGAGGGTAATAAAAAAAATACATAGTATTTAGATCTAAACACAGTCTTCAAAAGCACGTTAATTTAGAAACATTTTTTCAAAAGAAAAATCGAAAATTTATTGTTGTAATAAATAGATTTTAAAGAGTAATAATTGGAAAATCTCATTCAAAGGAAAAACACGTGAAAAAAAATCCTCAAAGAAATAAAATATCTCTGGACCGACAATTTTTTTAGACTTCAATAATGATGCAAATTATGTATTTACTAAATTATAATTTATCATATTTGATATTTTATTATAAGCAAATATCTAGATAATTCCAGCTACAAGCCATTCTTATTATGAGAAATCGCGAATATTCACAATAGTATGATATTGTCTACTTTAAGTATAAGCTCTCGTAGTTTTGTTTATGGTTTGGAGCTCAAGAACAATCTCCCTTTGATTGAGGCTCGACTCTTTTTTTTTTTCTTTGTAGCCCTCAAACAAATCCCACCCTTGACAATTCTATTAACACGATTAAATCAAGGACATGATTCTAATACGATAGCACAAATTACGGATAATACTTGTTACATAGAAGCATTTTTTCCCGTAAATTCTCAAATGATCGTGAGTACTAGTTTGTATGTATATATATATATTGGAAAGCGTGAATATAATAATTGTTGATGCAGGATGCTCCCCTGTGTGTGTCCAGGGCATTTATGATGATTGTTGGTAGTCCATTTCAAGCAGAAGATCATCACCAACCCTTTCTTTCTGGTCCACATATAGACATTGATACACGAACCCGAGGTGGGCGCTCTCAATTCCTCATCCTTTCCCGCTCCCCAACAGCACCGACACAAATTCAACTCTTATTTCTTCATCAAACCCTTTTTATCTTGCACGGTGATGAGCCCGGAAGCTGTACCCGAAACAACCCAAGAGGCAACAGGGCTGCCTTCGTGTTGGTATAACACACAAACATTCTAACCAATTTTGATATTTTTATTGAGTTTTAGGGTATATCATAATTTTATACCTCTGTCTTCCGCAATCACTAAACCTTTATTTTGAGTTGGGCCGACAATAAGCATGAATAGGAACTGGTAGTAGGAAGCCGCCCAGTTGTGGGAGTAGGCCCTGCAACTCACCCACTAACCCTCGACGGTGGCCTGGGCCTACACTCACCAAACCCAAATGCCTGCCCTGGCCCTACCGCATACCGCACCGCCTTCCTCTTCCATTCACTTATTTGCTTTTAACTTGGTTGATGAGACATGTTTATATGAATCTTTTGATTGTTGAGAAAGAGTCAATATTGGTTAACTAAACAAATAAATACATCTCCATACCAAGTGTTTTGGGCAAACAAAAACTAAAGTCACTAGAGTTTATGTTCAAAATAGACAATATACACTTTTGATATCGATGGTTCTAACATGGTATAGAGTCATGTTCTTAACTTAGTCATGTCAATAGAATCCTCAAACGTTGAATAAAAAAGTTGGGACCGTCGAACGTGTAGTCAAAAGTGACTACGTGTCGAACAAATGATATAGTTTATACAACAGCTCCATAGACCTCAAGCGGAGGCTCTAAGATCAAAATTGACAATATCATATCATTGTAGAGAGTCGTGATTTCTAACCTCTTTTGCATATTCGAAATAATGCTTAGCTAGCATGCAATATCGATGGATCACAATTAAGATGAGGGAAATAAAGTAGGATACATTTCGAAATATTTGTGATAAGAGGGGGAAGCATAATTGTTAAAGTAGGGGGTGGGCAATTTTAGGAGGAATGCAATGCAAAACCGCGTTGGGACAGTGCCACCAAAAGCACTTGAAGTTTGATGGGGAGTTTCGTAGGATCCTTCCTCTGCTTTTGCATTCCCAATACCTTCATCTTCTCTCTATAAATTACACTCAAAATCCCATCGCAACTCACAATCATTCAATCATTGGATCATTCAACCACAAATGGCTTCCACAACTCTGCTTCTTGTTACCCTCTTTGTCTCTGCCTCCCTTGTTGCTCTCTCTTCAGCCAACTTCAACCAAGATTTTCAAATCACGTGGGGAGATGGGCGAGCCAAGATTGTCAACAATGGCGAACTCCTCACTCTCTCCCTGGACAAGGCCTCAGGCTCCGGCTTCCAGTCTCAAAACGAATACTTGTTTGGAAAGATTGATATGCAACTCAAGCTTGTGGCTGGCAATTCCGCTGGCACTGTCACTGCCTATTATGTAACCCTCCTTTCTTTTTAGAACTTCCCCCTCCCAAACTTGGTGATTGTGTAAAGCTAATAATTAAACTTCGTTTGTGGTGGGTTTTTGCAGTTGTCTTCGAAGGGATCCACATGGGATGAAATAGACTTCGAGTTCTTGGGGAATCTAAGTGGCGACCCTTACACTCTTCACACCAATGTGTTTAGCCAAGGCAAAGGCAACAGAGAGCAACAGTTCCATCTTTGGTTCGACCCCACTGCTGATTTCCACACTTATTCCATTCTTTGGAACCCCACTCGCATTATGTTCGTACCCATCATCTTATGTTCATCATTTCCTCCCTTTTCTCGCTGCTCTGTTTTGACTTTTACTCTGTTTTAACTTTCAGATTTTCTGTGGATGGAACTCCAATAAGAGAATTCAAGAACTGGGAATCTAACGGCGTGCCATTTCCTAAGACCCAGCCAATGAGGATATACTCGAGCTTATGGAACGCGGACGATTGGGCAACCAGAGGAGGGCTGGTGAAGACGGACTGGACAAAGGCTCCTTTCACTGCTTCCTACAGAAACTTCAAGGCCGAGGCCTGCGTTTGGTCGTCGGGGGGCTCTTCTTGCAGCAGCCCCCCCTCGGGGTCGGGGAATGCCATTGCCAAGAACTCATGGCTGTCCCAAGAGATGGACTCTGCAAGTCAAGAGAGACTGAAATGGGTGCAGAAGAATTATATGATTTACAACTATTGTACGGACACCAAGAGGTTTCCTCAAGGCCTCCCTACAGAGTGCAGCTTGCCATAGACACTGTTTTTGATCTTTTCCCTTTATGGGTTTAGCCTACGTTTAAATTTTATTCATTTTTTCGTTTTGGGGTTATGTAATGTTACGTGTTTTGGTAATATTCTCTTGTCCTTGTTTTCAAAACGTATTTCACTATATATAATAAAGTTCTCAAGTTCCATTTTTTTTTTATTGTTTTGATCTGAGTTTGATGTAATATTTTTAAATTATCACAAAAGAGAGGATGTATATTTATAATGTGCGAAGACCGATGGTTTTAGTGAATGGCAGAGGCGACGTACAGCTGGTGCAATTGGTGCCAAAGAAGGCACCGTCTGCTGGCGGAAAGCCTGCGCGAGCTTAGTCGCAAAAATCGCGTCTTTTTCTTCTGTGGCGTAATGGGGGTATTATGGCACCTCCTTCGCCACTTCCCAATGCCCTGTTTCCACCCTCCACTTCCCTCCTCTTTCCCAATTCCCCATCTTTTATACCTCTTCTGCTAACTTCTACCGGGACTTCGATATCACAACCCTTTTCATTATTCTTGTTCCTGTTTGCAGCTTTCCTCAAAAGGGTTGACGTGGGATGAGATTGATTTTGAGTTTTTGTTTGGGGTTGATGTGAACCCATGAGAGATCTTAGTTCTTATAATTCACCCCAACACAATTCAAACTCTTGTCATACAGTTTAGTAAAGTTCTTCTACTGTCTGAAACATGAACATGAGAGATGCATTTAAAAGCTCTAAAATGCTCAACTGAAGGGTTTACTCTACTCCAAGCTTCTTTTGGAGTTCTATTTTTGGCTATCCACACATGCATGGTCCAGTCGACTACTTATTTTTTCGTTCCGCAACTCCGTTCTACTGTGGCATGTATGCAGCTGTTAGTTGTCTTTGTATACCATTTACATCACAAATGAGATATATTATTTGTACACTCATGATCATTCTCTTAATTAGCTAATGTGGGACTTTCTTCCCACAATTCTCAACAATTTTCTCCTTGAACAAAGTATACCATAGAGCCTCTCCTGAGGCCTATGGAGTCCTCGAATAGCCTTTTCTTTGATCGAAGTCCGATTCCTTGTATGGAGCCCTCGAACAAAGTAAACCCTCGAGTCTTACAACTTATTTGTTTAACATTTGAGGATTCTATTGACATGACTGAGTTAAAAACATGACTCCGATATCATATTAAGACCCACAACTCTTCACAATAGTATGACATTGTTCATCATAAACTCTCATGATTTTTTTTTCTTTTTTATTACTCAAAAGATCTCATATCAATGCTGAAATCATCCATTTCGTATTTGGTGCTTCAGCTTCTCGATGGATGGCACTCCAATCGGAGAGTTCAGCAACTCTGAATCAATTGGCGTTCAATTTCCAAAGAAGCAACCAATGAGAATATACTCCAGCTTGTGGAATGCTGATGATTGGGCCACGAGAGGTGGGTTTGTGAAAACAGACTGGACCCAAGCCCCATTTGAAACCTCCTTTAGAAACTTCAATGCCGACAGCGCTTGCGTTTGGTCTTCTGGTCTGGTCCAGCTTCTTCCACAGCTAACCAATGGCTCTCGCAAGAGCTCGAGGCAATAAATGGAAGAAGAGTTATAAAAGAGTAATGAACTAGAGAGGGAAAATAAGAGAAAAAAATATAAATTGAAGAGAAAATAGAAGAGATGACATAAAGTTCAAACATGGAAACATTGATATGACAAATGAATGGAAGTTCAAACAGCTGAATGGCAACAAATAAGGTAATATTTACTTGAAGATGTCAGCAAATAGGCGCATAAGAATCAGAACAGTTATATTTATATGCATTAAAAACCAACTAAAAATAACAAGGATTATTCATTAGCCACCGAACCATCTTTCATACAGTAATGGGAAACTTTTGAAAGCAACAAAAAAGTGTTGGGAATCCTTGATCCTAATCAATCAAACCACATTAAGAAAGGGTATATGAAATAAGAAATTTACCCTGTCACCGGCCAACCCATTCATATTCTTGGCCTACCAAAGGTAGAATGGTGACAGGAAAACATCTTAAATAAAGTCACTAGCAAACAGACACGAGTCACTGTACAGGAATCTGTACAAAAGTAGCTTCCACTGTTAATATGTTATACAGATACAAAAGACATCCTTTTGAGTTGATCCAGCGAGTGTCAGAGAGCATGAATTGTGTCACGTGATGAATTCCAAGATCTACAGAATGATGATGCAGTGAATGAGGAGGAAGCTCTCAAATAACAGGCTGAACATCACCGACTAACCGAGTTCTATTCCTCATCTAACTCGACAAGCTGTGCGCGTCTCTCAGCTGCTTTCTTCCTGATGAAGAAGCCCCACCTCATTGCAGCTTTGATCTTCAGCCAACCCACCACAGCTTTTCCAGAACGGCTGCGATCGTCGAAATTTGGCATTGGTGAAGGCATGAACGATGGGAATGAAAAACCCTCATCATTGACGTTACCAGATGCATGCCCTCCCATGCTAAACATTCGCAACAAATGTTGCATATCTTCATTTTCAAGCAGTTCATGACTTCTCATACGAATCTCGTCCTCTGAAAAGAAGTCATCAGCTCCCTTGTCTCTATTGTTCGACCATTCAAATGGATTAAGATTAGTTTCCTGAATAGAAGAACCAAGCATCTGGAACCCTGAAGATGATGCTTGCGGAGGAGCAAGAGCCAAACCAAAAGCATTACTGTCATTTCTTGAGATATGAACTTGGTTAGAATTGCCAATCAACTCATTAGAAGCATATTGAGAGTTGTCAAACTGTGGTCGAGAAGTTGAATTCACAAACTGAGGCTGGGTTGAATATCTTGCGGCATTATCATCATACCCTGAATTGCCAAATACAAAGACAGAAAATAAAACACAAATTATAGTTAGCCAAACAATAGCAATCACCAGATGTAATAATACAACACAAATTATAGTTAGCCAAACAATAGCAATCACCAGTTCTAATAGATGAGGCAGTCCTAAGAAAATGTAAGGTGCGTATGCAGTTATTTGTGAGCTAGAACCAGAAGAATTCATATTATCCAACATAACGAAACCAAAGTCTATCACAAAGCCACAAAGCTTAAAAGTTTGTGGGGGTAACAGAGGAGGGGAATCTCTAAACTACTATAAAACAGCATAAAATGACCCCTCTACCTGCCAAGAGAATAAGACAATTTTTACCTTCATATAAAAAGCTTAATCTGTGCAAACAAAAAGATCATAAGTTCGTTGCCTCTTTCACTAGTATTGTAAACTACTTAAACTATAGTCTCACATAGTTGATTTATTTTCCATGAGAAGAGAGTTGAGGCTGATTGTGCTTCTCAGTTTATCTTCGGAGACTGAGAATTTAATCTGCTTATTGGTTAATGTATATTTGACCAACAACCTAAGTAGTGAAGAAGTGGAATACAAATCAATAAAGTAGTTAACAAGTTTGACTGCCTTCACTTGTACATAAAGATGGAATTTCAAATTTTTGTGTCCACAATATGCCCATGCAAACAGTGAAAGTTAGTATTTTTCATGATTTAATTTCACTAGTGAAACGTTAAGAATAATATCTTCCTACTGCAAACCCAACTTAAATGCACTGGACTCAAGGCTTTGCCAAACTGGACTCTAGGCACGGCCTTTACAGGAGTATTTATACTCTTATGATTTGACAACCACTAAACGAATCCCTTCCCACAGATAATAATCATTGATAATGATAAAAAAAAAATGCGACAATCCAAAAGCTTAATTACAATGATAGAGTGGTTACCTGCAACTGAGAGTCCTGAATCCATTACAGGCTGCTGAGGCTGAACTGACACTGGCATGCGGGGGATTGACCCATGATCTAGAGTATTAGAAAGATCAAGATGACCGCCTTGAAAGTCATTTCGGGATGCATTCGACTTCTTAGACTGCTTAGAGCTCAAAAGTGACTTGCCATCGTACTCTACAACTTGATTCCAATTTTCATATGCTTTGTTCACTAGTGTATCAACATAAACCTGCAAAGTGAAGATATTTCTTAACCTATTTTTTAGGGATAAAGGTAGAAAATCATTATGCAGCATAAATGCCTGCCCTTCTTTGCGAAGCTTTCTTCACAAGGAGACAGGAAAAAAAAGACTATTATTGCTAACACCTAAAATCTTGAACCATCAATAATCCCTGAATAAAAGCCAATATCTAAATATCAGTAAGTAGGTTACAGATGAATCACAAAAGCATAAAAACACCTACATTCGATAATGGCAGGTTTGTTAGTTTCATGAGGTTATGGTGCGTTCTATGGGGATTTTCATTTTTCTTTTCCAATTGCAACAGCCTCAACAGATATAGTACAATAATTCTAAGTTGTTATAAGAGGTAGTAATTGAGGGAAAAGATCCAGTGGCAAGGTGCATTCTGGAGAATAGCTTTCCTCAGACAGAGAGGACAATTTATAATTTATAAATTAAAAAAAAAAAAAAAACAAAAAATCTTGCCAACTCTTAACCTGAACAAGACTGGCCTTTCTTTTTCATTCTTCAGTCAAAGAAAGTAACCTTGATCTGGTAAAACCAGCTAAACATTTTTTTTTTCAGCAACAGAAATGGGGAAAAGTACTAAATGAAGTAATGATCTTGCCAACTCTTTGCGAGTGTTTTTCACATGGGAATTACAATGATAGAAGTATAACAAGCATAGGTTTTAAATTTACCTTCTGGCTATCAGACAGAGAATCAGCAGAAAAGTATTGTTCCCCTGTAATCAGTCCATTGAGCTCATAGATATTGTTGAAAACAACACCAACATTTCTTGTTTCCTCTGGATAATAAATATACAGCTTCCCGCCCAGGACACAGGTCTTAGCATGTTCCAGGAGAGCATCCCACATCTTATTTGACATACCACTTCCAAGGATCTACAAACAGGAAATTCTTTTAGAAAGAGTTGTGAAGGATAAGAATAAAGTACGAGACAAGTGACAACACTTACGCTCCGTAGCTTTTGAGAATCTCGAACCACCATTCGGAGAAAATCTTCAACTGAGAATATTTGATTTTTGTTTAGCCGCTTGTGAAATGAACCATCCT